GAGAGAGAGAGAGAGAGAGAGAGAGAGCGAGAGAGAGAGAGAGAGAGAGAGAGAGAGAGTTTGGCTCTGTATTGATCGACATCTTTACTCAGGCGGTATTGTGCCTAGTGTATATGTGCGCAGAATCTAACGATTTCCGTGGGGAACAAACATTCACTGCCGAATAAAGTCATTTCTGAGCAAACTGTTAACATTTCTCCATCACGAACGAGCCACTCTTCCTCACCTGCAGATTCGACTGCGCAGAAATGCGTTTGTAGAGTAAACATACAGTATATATCTACACGCTGTATCGTCATCGGTGTAGTCACGAATCGGTTCGTGCGAAAATTCTCTATATAGCGTCGCGTACAACGTCGACGGTTTCTCATGCTGTGCAATTTCAGCTTTCGATTTAGGCGCTCTAATGCGAGAATGTTAGGAGATCGCAATCTATCTCGTATACGCTTGATCACACGTCTCTCACTGACCTTCTCCGTCAGTATAGAGATCATATCGACCAGGATGAGTAAGTGCGCTTGCTGTACGTTGTCGCTGATATAACGGACGAGCGTTTTCCTGAAAGCGGTATTAAGTTAAGCAACTCGATGTTAACCACCTTTGATTAACCACGTTTACATGGCAGCCACCTCACGAAAGTGAGTTATGGCAGGTAATCGCGCAAATGGCTGCCGATGTGATCCACTCCCGCGAGTAGGCTCGCGCGAACAGACGAGCGTAAACTAGTTACGCGCGCATTAAAACCAGAAGTCGAGCGTGCAGACGACGACACCAGGATCTCCACTCTCGTGCGCATCCGAGTGAAAACATCGCGAAATGCGACGAGAAAAAAAGAGACGCAATTCAATCGGCGCCGTATAGGAAGAAGGCGTCTTGCAGAGAATCTTTCTCGGCGGGTTTGCGCCGCCGTGCTGTATTTCCTAGCAAGTCATCGATGAAAACAGCTGCTGCTGCTGCTGCTGCTGCTGCTGCTGCCGAGTCCAATAACGAACGCATCACCTGCACACGTTACAGCGGGCGTTACCCACTGAAGGTGAATCGAGCGTCGTGCGCAGAGATTGTCGGCGTAGCGGCACGTAGACGTCATTATAATAACGCGCGACTGTTTTCTCGCTATCTCGGTCCGTACCAGTGCGAGGAGACCGGTGCCCGCGTAGACTCAATCATCGTCTCCCTCCTCCTCTTCCTCCTCCTCCTCCTCCTCCTCCTCCTCCTCCTCCTTCTTTTCCTCCTTCTATTTCTCCTCCTCCTCCTCCTCCTCCTCCTCCTCCTCTTTCTCCTCCTCTTCTTCCTCCTCTTCCTCCTCCTCCTCCTCCGCCTCCTCCTCTCCCTTCTCCTCCTCCTTCTCTTTTTCCTTCTCCTCCTCCTCCTCCTCCTCCTCCTCCTCCTTTTCCTCCTTCTTCTTCTTCTTCTTCTTCTCCTCATCCTCCTCCGTCGTGGAGTCGGAGCGCGGTCTCCTCTCTTCTCTGACACGCGGCCAGGTGAACACTCCAAGCGGCGTAATTTCCTCGATGATTCGCGTACGTTGGGGCTAAATACGGAAAAAGGAGAGGCACGGATAGCGAGAGCGAGAGAGAGAGAGAGAGGAGCGAGAGAGAGAAAATTAAGAAAGACAGAGCGAGGGAGAGAGAGTGCAAGAGCAAGTCGGAGAGAGAGAAGGGGGGGAGAGAGGGGTACGTTGAGGGCTAAATACGAAAAAAGGAGAAACAGGGATAGAGAGAGAGAGAGGGAGAGAGAGCGCGAGAGAGAGAGTGCGAGAGAGCGAGAGAGAGAGAATGAAGAAAGACAGAGCGAAGGAGAGAGAGAGTGCAAGATGAAGTCAGAGAGAGAGGAGGGAGAAGAGAGGGGTACGTTGGGTCTAAATACGAAAAAAGGAAAGACAGAGATAGAAAGAGAGAGAGAGAGAATGAAGAAAGACAGAGCGAAGGAGAGAGAATACGAGAGCAAGTCAGAGAGAGAGAGAGAGAGAGAGAGAGAGAGGCGGGGGAGAAAGAGAGAAAGAGAGAGGAGGGGGAGAAAGAGAGAAAGAGAGAGAGAGAGCGCCTGGGAGGGAGAGCAAGCAAAAGAAAGAGAGAGAGAGAGACAGAGAGGCAGGGAGAAAGTGAGAGAGATAGAGAATTAAAAAGGGGGAAAAGAAAGAGGGAGAGGAGGCGGGAGAGTGAGGAAATTACGGGTCCGTCAGCCGCGTAATGAGCTGCATTTTGGAGAGACGGAGATTGATAAACAAAAGGTAACGCTTGTGGACGTCAATGCCCTTCAACCCGCCGTCCGGCAGAAAAGCAGCGCTCGCTATAGATGGCGCCACTGTGTGAGAGGTCAGTAGAGTGGCTTCTCACAGGCGTGCCGACACTTTTCGTCGCGTTGAGGATTTGTCACCAGCAGCGATAATTCCGCATGGGGAGGATGTAACGCTGTAGGGAGAAGGGAGGGAAAGGGATCTCTCTCTCTCTCTTTTCTTTCTATCTCCCCCCTTTCTCTCTTTCTCTCTCTTTTCTTTCTATCTCCCCCCTTTCTCTCTTTCTCTCTCTTTCTCCCTCTCTCTCTTTCTCTTTCTCTCTCCCTCTCTCTCCCCCTCTCCGCTCTTTCTCTCGCCCTCTCTCTCTCTCTCTTCCCCTCACCGCTCTCTCACTCTCTTTCTGTCTCTCTCTCGCCCCCTCTTTCCCTCTCTCGCTCTCTTTCTCTCTCTCTCTCCCCCTCCCGCTCTCTCTCTCTCTCTCTCTCTCTCTCTCTTTCTGTCTCTCTACCTACGCTACCGCTGGGGTGCGCTATTTGGAAAAGAGTGGAAAACACTCGAAATCTGCCGTTCGCACGCCGTCTTAAGCCGTGCGATAAGATTCCATCAATAATTAATAAGGACTGAAAATCCATCATTATCGTTAACGCCAGCAGGAAATAATTACTCGATGGTTATGATAATCGTGTGGATAAATCAAACGCTCACCGTATATATATACATATATATATATATATATATATATATATATATATATATATATGCGGCTGCGCGCGAGCACGTCGCGCTCAGCTCGCGATAGAATTGCTAATGTCATTTCCGTTAACCATTCATCACGCCACAACCCTGAGCCTGAGTGAGCGCAGCTTGCATGTATAGTGACATTTATGCGACAAGTACGTGTCGTGCGGCGAGTGAGACAGCGTCGTGAAGAAAAGTTCAGATCTTGCTGTGCAATTAACAGAGCGCGAGTTTGGCTATTTGCCACGCGCAAATACATCGTTAGGCAGTCACCACGCTACGGGCGCCGGTTCGTTATAGACGCCATCGCTTCTGCTTCGTTGTTTTAGCGAAACTACTTTGGCAAGGCGCGTCGGTGCACGCGTGTTAGGAATAACGGAACGACCACTGCCGATCCCCACCCCGTAGCTTCAAATTTCTGCTATACGCCCGCCTCGGTATTTTTTACGGTGCGTTTGTTACCGCGGGTTTTCGGTGAAGTAATGACTGTTTAACGTACTGCAGTCGGTATTAGAAACTAGTTCTCATTAAACCACTAATGATGTAGGATTGAGCGAGTTGGCGTTTAATAACCTGTTTACAAAAAAATTTAATTAATGCATGATGAACTAGCAGCAATCCGACGATTCGTTAGACTATAGATGTAATCAAATTAAAAATGAGAGAATTCATCAGTCCGGACTATAATCAATACAAGTCATGGCGCATAAATACAGTAACATCGATAATAGCAGTAGCAGCTCGCCAGGGGGCAATCATTTAAACACAAAGGCATCAGTAAATAAGATTCCTTTTGGTCACGGTCTCGACGCAAGGAATGATACTAATTAACAGATCGTTACATTCCGAGAATTTCAGACGTGGAACCATAATTATAATGATGAAACCCTCAGGTTTCACTACATTGCTCATCGTAACATATAATCATAGCTACATAGCGTGTTACCAGTATCGATTAGCATATATCCTAACACCAGATGTTACAAGCTTTCCTGATCTACCCCTCCCTCCAGCTCAGTCAAGGCATCCCCGACAGAGCCTTGCGCCCCTCCCCACCGGCTATGTTTGTGTCACTGCGGATAAAATCCGACGTTATTTCCGTATTTACTAGATAGTTGGCGTTTCTTCTTATTTTTTTCTTTCTTTCTTTTTTTCGAAACCTTCTTCTCTAGGTTTTACTGGGATTTGTTCATGCTGGTACTGCTTGTCGCCAACCTCATCATACTGCCGGTGGCCATATCTTTTTTCAACGACGACCTGAGCGTACATTGGATTGTCTTCAACTGCTTATCCGACACAGTCTTTCTTCTCGACATCGTAGTCAACTTTCGCACAGGTAGGAACATGGTACAGTTATGTGTAGCAGCCGTGGGGTTAGGATCACGGTTTCGGATCGATACGAGCAAAGATGTGTATTTTTGTTGTTGTTGTTGTTGTTGTTGTTGTTGTCGTTGTTGCTGTTGTTGTTGTAACTGGTAGTGGTGTTGTTACTATTATTATTATTATTAGTATTATTATTGTTGTTGTTATTGTTGTTATTGTTGTTGTTGTCGTTGTCGTTGTTGCTGTTGTTGTTGCTGCTGTTGTTTTTGTCGTTGTTGTTGTTGTTAATGGTGGTGGTGGTGTTACTGTTATTATTATTATTATTGTTATTATTATTACTATTATTATTATTATTATTATTATTATTATTACTACTATTGCTATTATTGTTGTTTTTGTGGTTAGTGTTATTAGGAATATGTGCATTATTGCTATGAAATCACGCGGTTAACGTTTCCGCGCGAGCTGCATGCTATTACTAGTTTAAAAAATGATTAGCCTATCGTACTGACTGTTACCATTAGACTAAATGAAGGAGGTGTGGGTGGTTGCTGATGAACTACGTTTTATTTAGTAAGACTTTCTCTGATCATCAATTTAATCTACACTGTCTACGCATGTTGCAGTAAATTGTTATGGTAACATCCACTGTAAACAAATGCGGCGATTTTGCTTGAATTCTGTACGTTTTATAGCCCAGGCCGCGTATAAATTCCATAGCGGGCTATGCTCTCCGGGCCGCTACTATTACTCCTGCGTTCATCCTGATTCATACATGCATCAGCTATACATTTCACAAGTCTTCCGGTATGCGGCAGGATATTATATGGTCATATAAAAAAATAGATATATGGCAATATATCAGAGTCATTTATAGCGAATGCGTGGTCGCATATGCCTACACGCAGTGCATGGGCATTGGAAAGTGCCCGTGGCATTACCTATACGCCATTTTGCGGGTTGCGCTCTCGCTCGTGCGTCAGGTGTTCATTCAGACAGATGGTTGAGTTACTACCGAGGGGGTGTACGTCGACGACTCTCAATCAGAGTTCGAGCGGCATAAGAATGCGTGACATCATCCCTTGTCATCCACATGTGGACGCCGCTAGGGGATGGCGGCGCATGAGCTCAGCTTGCTACCCACTGAGCTAATACATCCAGCGGTTTAATTGCGTAGTTATTCATTCGAATGTCGGCTGCTGCATCATCCCTCGTCGCTCGCCGGAGAATGATGTATAGCGGTTCAGTCCGTCTGTCGCCGTCGCTGCGGCGGACGAGTGTTTTAGTTATGTATCTCTTATTCGATTTCTTATCCGTGTTTTGTCGTATAGTTGCAGTACCAGCCCGGTATATATTCAGTTGATATTCGGTTGCATTCCAATGCGCGAGTGCGTGTTGCCATAGCAACCGACGTGTTTTGGGGGGAACGATGTTTTTGTCACGTGAGTTGAGGGCTTTCTTTCAAAGTTAATGCATTTATGATGTATTGTGGAATATATATTTAATGTATCGGTACAAACGCAGTTTTTAACCGCGGTAAATGTGAATTGTTTGCAGATTTACATTATGAACTTTATTATGAACTTTGCGGCTTTTTATTTTCTAGTACTTTTTGTATTCTAGTACAGCGCAGGCCTACCATCGTCTCTTTCATAGGTTCAGTTCCGTGTCTATAGTTATTGTCGCTGCAGCGATGGCATTCAATTCATCATAATTTTCCATTCAGCCTCGGCTTTCGTCCATATTTACACAGTAGAATGACTAGATGTATTCAGCGTTCGTGTAACATTCCATGAAATTATTACGTATAAAGCGGGCAGCAGTCATGTGAAAAATTCGGACAGCGCCTAGTTGGAATTTAATCGCATCCATTCTTGCCCTGTGCCTTCCATGATTGCGAAACGACCAAGCAATGCATGTCGCCTCATGCTGCAGGCAAGCGAGGCTGTGCGATGTGGAAAGCATAGACTGTACACCCAGTCAGCGAGAATTTTCAGACACCGTCTATCATTCGGCTTAGTCAAATATGAAATGTCAGAAAGAGATCATTCACTATGTAGTAATGCGACAGCTAGGGGCACAGAGAGCACACGTATATGACATGGGGACCAACGGTCTCAGGCTCTACACATCCTCTGTACGCTGCAAGGATGGGTTAAACATTCCGTTGGGTAAGATCGGAGGCGGTGTAGCATTGACGGTTGGCATGCCGTGCCAAAACCGCGCGCGTAAAGCACGAACCGTACGTATACGAAAGCTGGGGCTGGCTATAGCCATGAAAGCCCCTCACAGCTCCGACGCGGTTAAATGCCTTCACCTATACAATCATCGTGCGTTCACGCCTCACCCCAACGCCGCCGCTGATCTGTAAATAACGGACGAGAAGCGATTTCGCGCCACCCTCCCCCTCCCTCGCCGCTCCCCCTTTTCCTGTTTGTAATCGCGGCCAGGCGTCGGATTAATACTGAGTAGCGCGGCTATCTGTACGGAGCTCGGCCGGCCGGTCGTCGGCACGTAGATTACACGAGCACGCACACATTCCCCATCGCCAGATTACATCGCAATTACCAGCCGCCAATAAACGCGGATGAAATCTGCGCACCGGTCTTATGCAAAGAAACGAGGACGGATAATCAGTGGACTTGCCAATGTGGCTTCCCCCTCCCCCACCCCGAACCAGACCATAACCAAAACCAAACCAAAACTGACCACAGTCATAATCTATCGTAGCCTATTGTGAGCACACGTACTCAAAACTATAACCAAAACCAAAACTCAACCACAATAACCAGTTATAACCACGCATACACCCAAAGCCAAACCAAAGCCGACCACTTACCATTCCAAAAACCAAGCATAATCAACCATAACCATATCCAAACCAACCATAACCATATCCAAACCAACCATAACCATATCCAAACCAACCATAACCATATCCAAACCAACCATAACCATAGTCAAACCACGAGTTCGAACCGTTAGTACGTTTGAACACCTTAATGTCAATTCACTTCTCTCGCCGCGGTCAAACCTATATATCTGAATTGCTACTCTACAAGTCCGGAAATCAATTGGACTAAAACAGCTCGATAGAATTAGATTAGGCACAGAATTAGTACCAGTCCGCTAGTACCAGTTCACTCACCTAGATTACTATCAGACTAACCAACCCAGAGGCATGGCCTAGCCAGGCCTAGACCATGGTAACCTATAATTTCCGGCCATATATAAGCAAGCGGGGTGAATCTCTACGTTACTGGCTACATCTTCATCTTGGACGCGCGCGCGTGCCAGGCTGGACACGTGCGCGTGTCGTAAAATCGTCAATCCAATTACGTATGCTCGCTGTGTCGACTCCGCTAAGCATTGCCGACGTAACGCGATTGCCTCGCGATTACCGCTAAAAACCTTCGATGCTACCCCGACGTCGCCGGAAGCCAAATTCCATTCGCGGGCGACTCCACGGGGCGCGTTCGGAAAAAATATCGATACAGTCACCCGAGTCAATCAACCGATCAGTAAATCAAAATATAATAATGATGATGATGGTGATGATGATAATGATGGTGATGACAATAATATGAATAATAATAATAATAATGATGATGATGATGATGATGATGAATGATGATGATGACGATGGTGATGATGATAATGACGACGATGATGATGATGATGATAATAATAATTACTATTATAATGATTATTATTATTACTATAATAATAATGCTAAATAAGAAGAGTCAATGAAATGAGCAGCGATGAACTACGAAAGCCCAGAAGGCTCATGCGAAATGCGAAATGCGAAATGCGAGATGCGAAATGCGAGATGCGAAATGCGAGATGCGAAATGCGAAATGCGAAATGCGAGATGCGAAATACGAAATGCGAGATGCGAAATGTAAACTGCGACTTTATGTACAGCGAATCAGCACTTAGCTTTCATCATGTTTACAATGTGACCAATGAAATACAGTTTGACATTCAATGCTTGGGTCCTCGAGGCAAATAAGGGGCGTTCAAGTTGGTAAACAAACTACGTCATTTTGGCGCATGCGCAAGTTTTCTGCGTTGACGCAGTCTTAAATATTATGCATGACCTGGGGGTTCATACGCACAATAACGAGGCTAAGCTTTTAGGCATTTTGATAAACAATAGGCTGCTCAGGCAAGGCACGCACAGAGCAGGGTACACCGCCACTGTAACACCGGGTACACGTACGTACATGCAGATACACGCACGTACACGCGGGTACAGCGGAGATACACGCACATACAAGCGGGTACACGCACGGACCGACGTCACACGCGCATACACGACGTACACGCACGTACACGCGGGGACAGCGCATCGTCCACTGCGGCGTACACGCACGTACACGCGGGTACACGCAGCGTACACGCGAGGTACACGCCGGGTACACGCACGTACCACGCACGTCACGGCGGGTACACGCACACGCTACACGCAGTACACGCCGGTACCGCACGTATAGCGCGGTACACGCAGATATCACGGACGTACACGCGGTACACGCAGGTACACGCCGCTACCCGCACGTACACGCAGATACACGCGGGTACATGCACGTTACTACGCAGTACACGCCAACGTTTACATGCGGAGATAACACGCGGGTACACGCACGTACACGGCACGTTACACGCATATACACGCGGGCTTAACACGAAGCGTACATGCAGGTACACGCCACGTACACGCAGGGACACAGCCACGTACACGACGGGCTACACGCACGATACATGCAGTTAAACTGCACGTTACAGCGCACGGTTAAACCGCACGCTTATAAACGACGACACGCACTGTACACGCGTCGGAATTACAGTGCCGGCACGTGGCACCGCGGGTACACGCAGTACACGCAGTTACACGCACGTTACATGCACGTATAAGCGGGTACACGCAGATACACGCAGGGTACCGCGGGGTCACGCAGCGTACACGCAGGTTACACGCCGGGTTACACGCACGTAACACGTATGGTA